AAGACAGTACTTGTTTTGGATTTTACAGAAGCCTACCCACTGTTAAGTGACTTTAAAAAGAGACTATGGACTTTTAAGTCTTTGGATTTTTTAAGGACTATGGGGCTTTTAAGTATATACTGTCTTATGTTGTTTATATTAAAATCATATCTTAGGGATAAGAATTGGAAAGGTTATGGTTTAATAGTGATGTGTTTGTGTGTCAAGTTGACAAGGGATCAATTGTGCTGGATAGCTTGACACACCTGGGTTGAGGGAATCTCAGTTAAGGAATTGCCTCCATTGGACTGGCCTGTGGCCATGTCTGTGGGGCATCTTCTTGACTGTTGAGTGATGTAGAGGGCTCAGCCCACTGTGGGTGGTGCCACCCCTGGGCAGGTGGGCCTTTGTTGCATAAGAAAGGAGGTTGAGTAGGGGCCCCCGGAGCAAACCTATAAGCTGTGTTCCTCCATGGCCAGTGCTCCAGCTCCTGTCTCCAGGTTCCTATTGGACTCCCTGATGAACTATAACCTGGGAGATGTAGGCCAAATAAACTCTTTCCTTCCTAAGTTGGTATTTTCAGAGTATTTTGTCACAGACATGGAGAAACAAACTAGAACAATAATAAAACACAATTAAGGAGATATAAATGCTTATTGATTTTGTGTGTGTTCATGTGTCCACGCCTGAGGACAGTCTCAGGTGTGGTTCCTTAGGAGTTGACTCACCTGCTTTTGTGTTTTGTTTTGTTTTTTTTCTGAGACAGAGTCTCTCACTGGCCTAGAACTCACCAAGTACTCCTGACCTGCAATCCCTAGAGATCTGCCTGTCTCTGCCTCCCAGAGCTGGGATTACAATTGTGTGTCACTATGACCATGCTCATTTTTTTACATGGATTCTGGGGAATCAAACCCATCCTCCTGCTTGCTTTGCAAGCACTTTACCAGTGGGCATCATCAATGATAATACCAAACCTGTCAAAACATATTTCAATTAGACTCTAGCAGAGCTCCAGTCTACACAGACTACAAGTTTGGGTGTAGTCTTACAGAATTATAAATATGCCTTCCATAAATGTATGAACCAGAATGTATCATCTCACTTTCCAAGGATGTAAAACAGGGAATGATCTCTTATGCTGTAAAACATACAAGATTTGTTGTTTTCCACTGCTGCCATAGCAATTGCTATATATGTAGCTTGAGAAAATACTATTATATATCTTATAATTCTTTATTTAATGTATGTTTTATTGGACTTTCACGCATTTCATACAATACATCTTAATCAAATTTAGACCCTCCCATCCCCTATCTCTAACCCCACATAACCCACCCAAAGGATTTCATGCATTCTATTATATATGTTAAAACATATCAAGAAAAGTTTGTGTACTCAGACGTCCCTTGAAAACTAAACATATACCTCTACTGGAAAAAAGAAAAGGGACTTGATTTAGAAAGAAAGGAAGGGAGGAAAGAAGAAAGAAAAGACGGGGGGCTAAGGAAGAAAAACATTGTTTCTTACAAAAAGACTCATTGTTTTTGCTAGTAACACTGAGACACTGGCACACGCATCTCTCATCTGTATGTATCTAATTATTACTGTTCATAATCGGTTGTACTAAGATTCTTGGGACCTCTATTAATTAACATGATGTATATTTTATGCTTCCTTCTCAAATATAATTCATTTTTAAAATGTGTTGATTTTTCTTGTGTGTGTATATCACACAGAACATCCCAAACCATCTTATTCGACTATACACCCACTTCCCAGATGGCACCCTCCCATAGCCTGCCTCCTCCCACTAGAACCCCTATACTCTGTTATCCCTGCTACTGTCCACTGTGTTGTTCCCGACTACTTGTCCATCTGGTGAATCTAGTCAGCCAATTTTGGGGTCTTTGTTTTAGGAGGATAGCAAACCTAACTTTTTGTAGCCACTTTTGAAAGAGATGTATCTTTGCTCTGGAAACTGTTATTGATGTTATTGAGTATACTAAAGCTGTAATGAAATGCTTCTTTTAAAAAAAAATATCTACAGTCAGCAAGGGATCTGGGGACAAGCCTCCCTTATCACTTCCCTAGAGACAGCTCTGAATCTGTAGCACTGCTTCTCCAGAACCAGCCTACCTTGAAGAAGTTTCTTG